AAAATGTCTTGACCAGAGAAAACGACGAAGGGTTGCGTGTCACCACTTTCGACTTTCTGCGTTTTTGGCCCTGCAGTACCTGTTGAGATCGGAATTGAAGCGAAATTTCTGCATACGATAGGAACGGCAGTGAAGCTCCTGCATGACATTTTTCCATCGCGATAATTCGGATAAGCCGTGCCCGTTGACTTCTTTTTAATGGATCACCCAGGATCCAGACCGATTGGCATACGGACCATTTTAATAGTCCTATCTTCAGAAACATTCTACTTTTCTATCTTTCCTGGTTTGTCTCTGATTCAAACTTCTTTTCTATATCGTTTGATAGCCTCCTATACGGTTACTAGAAAAATCCCAAAGAATTTCATAACGCCCTTCCACTTCTCGCGCGTCAATGATTGCAAATGGCATTGAATGAGCCTCCTCCATCTGAAAGATAATGGGAGTTCCACATTAGCAACCATGCCTATTGCAAGGAAAGCTTCTTATGCAACCAATTAATAAAAGGTAATGTGAATTTGATAGATTATTTCTACCTTAAAAATTACTGAACTTTGGCGCAAATAATTTTGGACACCCTGTACATGCATATACTTTAGACCACCAAACCTTTTGAGGAAGGAGGATGCACCTGTTCTGTACTATAAGTTAGTGAAGTTGCTAACAAGCACCACAAAAAACTGATGGGTGGGTAAGGAAAACTAGGAAAACTACTACTACGTTAGCATTTCCCGATAAGATAACAAAGAGTTACATCGACTATGCATATTTAACAAACTATACTTATTATACTTATATTATACTTAGCTAAGCATCGAGGTTTGGGTCGACGTTTTTGGATAGAATCGAGATTGATCCAAGGGCTGGCAAGATTACAGCGACAGATTCGTTTTTAAAGCAGAAAACGAGGTCTACAAGCCTCAAAAAGACTAGCAGTTGCAAAACTATAGCCGACCTTCCACAACTGTCAAAACAGGTTCGAAGTCATTGAAAAGCTAAAGGGCTAGCTTGATATGCGCGTAAACCGCAGACTGCAAGTGCGTCGACCAAGCGGAAGAGTCCTGTATCTCGAGGCCTTTCCAGTCCTCGACGCATTCGTCGTCGCATCACCGCGATCATCTCATTGTTTGACAACTTTCCATCCTGCAAAATGCTTTTTTCTAGTTATAACTCAAACATTATGCCAGCAAACTCACCATATTATCATCAAAGAGCGTTATAACAACATCAATTACGTGATCACTGAGTTCTACATTAGTTATTTTTCGAGCAACCCTGAATATTTCCAATTTAGATATGCTGCAAGGGGTGGAAGTTTTCGCAACTCACCTTTTCAACAAGCTTGCATCGATCGGGAGACCTGCCATGCGGTGAAAATGCAAAGCCATGTCGACGGATTCAATGTGATAGAGGAATTGGAAGAAAGCGCGAGTCTAAAGGCAAGTCTTTTCATGTGGATTAATCGGGTTGAACGTTGTGGAAGCTCACGGCTGAGCTCTTTAAAAAAAGATCTCACTTCTTCAAAAGAGATTCCTTGCCCATTCTTGTATTTCTTTTTCAGTCGCTTTAACATCAACTTTTGTCGTTTTTCAGGAATTTGCGCATGCATGAGTAATAGTTCCCCAAAACTCGCTTCACCAATGAGACCATCGACACCATCCAGTGCGTCCCTTCTCTCAAATTCCATTCGCAGGATATCGCTGTACAAGTTCTCCTATAAGAGTAACCAGTTACCTTCAATGAGCAGAGATTTTTCGATAGAACGAAAAATCATGATAAGTACTTGGAATTCGAGGAATTTCTCTGCCGAAAGTTTGTTCTTCCCATCATGTCCAAAGAAGTAGTGTTCGAGAGCCGAATTTGATTCCACTCGGAATGAAGAGTTGGGCGTAATGTGGTCGCGGTGGCGCTGTCCCACGGTAGTTTGTGACATAATAAGATGCTTAAAGAACACGTTCGTCTCACTCAACGAATGTGTTGATCAAGGGAGAATTACCTGAACTTTGAGGAATTCTTCTTTATCGAGGGCACCGTCACCGTTTATATCGAAGATTTTGAATGCAAGAGCAAAATCGTTAGGTGATGCTGAAATGACAACCAATTCAATGACCTGTTTCAAAATAGCACCTTCAGGCGAAAAAAAAAACAGGCAAAAAACTTACTAGACAGCAAAGTCATCAGGAACAAGTAGTCACTGAAGCTTATCAAACCATTTTCACCCAATTTGTAGAAAATACTTCGTTTGTCAGAAAATTTGTATCTGTGCTTCTGGAAAAAGTGAATCATGAATATAAGAAAGTTCCCCAGAGTTAACTGTAAGTATACGGTAGAAGTAAAACAGAAAACTCACTTCAGGTTGATAAATTTTGTAGCTGTCCAAACCATATTTTCTTGGCTGCATAACTCCAGGTGTGAATGATCTCAGAAAGTCTTCAGGCGTCATGAACACCTCAAACGTCCTTCCTGACTCATCGCTTTTATCAATTACCTCAAACGATGTGAAATTACGTTTCACTGAAAACCACAAAAGAATATGGGAGACAACTACCTTGAGTGTAGCGAAGTATCTGAATATTTTATCAGGTGTGGAGTACATGCGGATACGATCCTCATATTCAATTATTCGACGCTCACGAAATCCTATTTTCTTCTTTTTCGGCTTTTCTGGCTGCTTTTCCTTTGCTTCTGCACCATCCTGAACTGATAAAGTGAGCAGAACAGCAGTGAATAAAAGAAAAAACAGATAATATCTTCTCTCAGTGGTAGATTTTATGCAATACTGAACGCTCATCTTGTTGCAAAACCCTATAACTTCTCCTGTTTCTAAGGAAACCCACCATGATTCAACAAACGAAGGAACGAGCCTGCCCATTCCAAAAAGTGTTTGAAGGCGGTAACCTTACCCCAGAGAGGCGGTAAATAAGGAAATTCTAAGTTAGCAGAACATTTGGCGCATAGAATTGATCAGCCAGAGCTTGGAAACGATAGCACTACCGCTGTTTTACCCACACATTTTGGGGTTGCATTGTTATGGTCCACGTACTAGCAGAAAAAGGCCAGCAATTGAACGAACTTGGTCTGGAACACATGATCGAAGGTCGTTTTATGAGCGCATATTGTTTATTGAAAAATATAAAAGATCACAAGCTATCATGTAATGTATGCACCGGGCTTTTGGATTCGGTAGAAACATCAAGCTCCTCTTCGTTCAACTGGGATGCCTGTGGTTTTACACCTTTTGCCATTGAATTGAACTGTTCCATGATCCTGAATTTTCAAAAGTAATGCCATCTGCGTGCAAACGTGTTCTCTGTACTTACCATTCATAATCAAGAAATATTAGTACTAAAGCGATACTGCAGAAGATCATTTCGTAGCGTAAAAACTTCCGAAGTGGTGGCCAGATATACGGCCGATGGTCGTACACTGTTGTTGAAAAGTCCGAGTATCCAACGCCACTCTTTCTAAATAGTTAAATAATTGGCAGAAAGCAGGAGTTCGATATATCGACTTTTTCCAAAGAGAGGAGATCCTCGGGTAAGTTAAACACCGCCTACTAAAAGGTCATGTGACAAAGAAGAAAGACCATAAAGCTTTCCCGATGTAATGCATATAGTTGGGAACCTGCCTACTCCAGCTAACAGAGAAAATAAAAAATTATAAACAAGCGACTTCCAAACGGACCTATCTGTGTAATGGAATACATCTCGCTTGCGTTTTCGTATACCTCCGAACATTGTATAGGCAGTAACAGGATCCACTTCGGGTTCTTTGGACTTCTCGGGCTGACTGGTCGTTGCACTATGTTCGCTGGAGCTCGATAGCGAACTTAACCAGGCACGACGAATAGGGAAAGACAGGCACCGGCATCGTAGCATTGCCTCCAGCTTCCGAACAAGTTTGACTGCCCTGAAATTTGCACTGACACTTTATGAGCTACTCCCAGAAGAGCACTCGAAAATGTTCCGTCACCATTCTCATCAAACAACTGAAAAAACATGAATGAAGATAAAAGAGACAATCAACTTATCGAAAGTCACAAAAAGCAGCTCGTCTCAGAAAAATTTCCGGTTATGGGAACGGTCACCCTTAAAGTACGCAGTTACACCTAGCCTGTGTGAGTTGACGTGAAGGGCTTACTGTTACCGGATTTACCTGGTTTGAACATCTCATTTTACGCTTTTTGAGTTTCTTCCTTGGAAAAGAGTTTGATGTTTTCGAGAATCCGTTTGGTTAATTTTATTTCATTTCACGACGGCTATATGTGAAGTCCTGAATCGTGCTTTGTTCCATCACTATCTAAGTGAAACAACTGGATAGAGTAGAACTATTGTGTGGGTTCTGAGGTAAAAGTGAGTAACACGACTTGGTACGGAACTCGAAACTGCGCTAAGCGTTCGGGAAATCAATCTTGTCTTCAGCATTAACTTCTTTCCCTCTCGTTCACTCCAGCGCTCTCAGATGTACCGGATTTATCGGTCTCCAGACAGAAGCCGTAAATTATTGAGCTGTGAACCTGATAAACTTGACTTATTTTTATTTTGCGATCTGCTGCTTGCCTTTCATTGCTTTCGGCTTTGTCTGTAATTGAATGGAATGTCCTCTGCAACTATACTTTTCATATGAAATCTTTCGAGTTCTTATCGTTTGCGGTTTAAAGTTAGGCACAGCTGTTTCTACTCAGTCGATTTTGCTAGCATTTGGGTAACGTCAGGGATTTTCTTTTGGGTGAACTTTGAGTGAACTCTGTGTCAGCTATCACTGCTCAACTTCTTTATGCACTCTCTTTAATACATGTTTCATTGAATTTACCTAGCGCAAGAACTTTGCTAATCAATTGTTTGACCACTTGAACTTGAAAGCATCCGAAAGCAAGTCTTGCAATTCCTCTGCGGTGTGGTCGATGGCCTAAGCAAAGGTCCGAGCCGCTGTTGTTTATCGGAGTCAAATACTGCTGACAAACAAGTTCAGTTGATATTTGATCCTTAATTGCGGTCACTGCGGCTATACGCCCGCGTTTCCCTGTCTCTAATCTCCTACACCTAATTCTTCATATGTGTGTTATGTTGTTCGATTTAATTTAGCAACATTTCAACCAATTGCTTGCATTCATACTGTAGACGCCGACGCCGGCGTCCGTGTTGGCTGTCGATCACTCATGCTGCTTCGCGCCTTTTTGAGCTTTCGAAGTGAAAAAAAGCATGTTCAAATGTTAAGCCTTAACGTGATTCACATAAGTATCGATCCTGTGGCACAAAGTATAAAAGTTATTGGTACCAACGTTAGCAATTAGCATGGAAGCAGGAATATACCGAAGGCTCTTCATAAATAGAAAATTCTTCTCAGAGAAGGTACTCAACCGTCAATTCGGAACCTGTAATTAGTTAATGCATTGAGAAAAGCGAGTCAAAGCACATATTTGATAGTTGAAGCTAATTACTGCAGCAAAAGTCATGGGCTTGCATAATATTAATGGAAAGTATGAGCATGAAGCTGGGCGCGTTCATAGTACCGCTCTTGACGCTGGCGTCGGCGTTGCTAGTCGGCTGATACCTCGCTAGTCGATAACTCATGGCACATGCTGCGGACATACAGCGAATGGATAAAGAGGGGAGCTTGGATTATTGAAACTTTGCTCGCATATTAAAAGGGAACGTGAGGCTTACATTACCTATCCGAGCTATCCGAGCATATAGAAGAACACTTTTTGGAAAAGAAATAGAGGACGTGTGATAGTTCCCTATGAGTATGTTCCGGGTGAATATGTCGCTGACGTCAACCTCGCATCACTAATGCGACCACTAATAACTTTTACCCTTTTCAGTGGTCACTTTGTCCTCACTTGGTTGCTGCAGCGCGACTGCGTTTGCTGTCATGTTGAATATCTGGCGCTTTTTCCCAGGCGTTTCGGATTTCTTTTACGCTGGCAAGGGAAAGTCAAATGTGAGTATTTTCCTTTTTATTGGGAGTTTTGTAGTTTCAATCACTATACAGTTGCCTTTTATGAGTTTTTAAGCTAATTTAACCTATTTGTTATCATTGAAATTTCAGAGCTCTGATTGTAATCAAGAGGTGAACCTGATGAAATTCAGGGAATTGCCAATAGGACCTCTCTCAAAGGGTTTGTTTTTTCCTGTCGTTTTTATCAATTCCTCAACAAGAATTAAAACTGTGTACAATGCCGTTTTTATCAAATGATCAACAACGATAAGAGCTCTGTGTAAGGTTGTCTAGTGTTACCCGTAAATAATTTCTTGTTGATCAGGAAATGAACCTGCTCCTCGTAGCGGCCATCGAATATTTTTGGATGATGAATTTCTATACGTCGTTGGGGGCTTTGATCGCACTGCGGACGAACAGGGTGGTAAAATATATAGAGAGGTCAGTCCTCATGAATGAATTTTTCGGGAAATTAATGTGATGGTACGAATTATGCTATTCGGATCTGTCCATCGTTTTAGGTTTGGAGATACAATTTATTGACCCAAGAGTGGACCGAGATGGACCTTATTGGCAATTTCCCGACAGCGCTAGCTTCGTTTGCGTGTGAGTCACCGATGCTACACAAATTTATTTTTTGTGAAAAGTTTTTGCCAAGTTCACCAGGTTGGTTTGCTTTAGTGGTGCAGAGTTCGCCGTATTCGAACCAAGTTGTGCTTTTCGGAGGCACCGCTGTACCGTTCGGAGCATCTACGTCTTCCAGTGTTCATCTTCTCTCTTTTAGTAAGACTTCCAACTCAATCCTTTCCACTTTGCTCCCAGTAGAGGGAGAGAAGCTTGCAACTTATGGGCACGTGAGTTCATTTTTGTATACATTGAAACAGAATAAAAAGAGCAAGGGTGATTAAACGGGATAACTACATAGTACTCCTCGTACTCGTACTTGATCCTTCTGTCACAAAGCTGTGGAATAGGACCATTTATTGTTGTATTCATCGGCAGTACTTCACGATTCTCAGTCTTTCTTCTGGTTTTATGGCAGGGAAATATTTACCTTTTTTAAACAGTGTTATTTCATTTTTGTAAGTACTGAAATATCTTTCATTTTCTTATGCGAACTGTTTCTGATGTATAGTCTAAAGCACAATTGGAATATTCAAATGAGCATTCTGTATAGTCAATAGCAGAAATGGAATATTTAAATGGGCATTAGGTGAAATTTGTCGTTTTTGTTATGTATGGCTTTAGGCAATGCTGCGCGGTTCGGATCCATGTGCTTTTTATGTGATCGGCGGTACAACGGGGCACAATTTCTTTCTAGATGTTGACAAATTAACGTTTGAAGAGGGAAAATGGAAGTGGTCAAGCGAAGCACAAGCTGTAAGTTATGACAAAACTTCAAATAAAGGGATAGGTTATGCATAAACTGAAAAAGATATTTTCAAATATGGAATGCTTTATTTTTTTAGACTCCGAACTTGGAAGGACGATACCGTCTTGAAGCTGTAGCGCACGATGACCTTATTTTCCTTTTTGGTGGTGGTCGNTCGGCGGTACAACAGGGCACAATTTCTTTCTAGATGTTGACAAATTAACGTTTGAAGAGGGAAAATGGAAGTGGTCAAGCGAAGCACAAGCTGTAAGTTGTGGCAAAACTTCAAATAAAAGGATAGGTTATGCACAAACTGAAAAAGATGTTTTAAAATATGGAATGTCTTAATTTTTTTTAGACTCCGAACTTGGAAGGACGATACCGTCTTGAAGCTGTAGCGCACGATGACCTTATTTTCCTTTTTGGTGGTGGTCGTCCCGATTATGTAACTGAACTTCGCACAGTACGTCTCTTCTTCTATTTGACACTACTAAGCTGTAAGAATGATTTCTATCGTAAAGTGAGGAGTTTGCAGATTACGGTATTCGACACTAAGAAGAAGATGTTCGTGGAATTGCCAACTCTCCCCGATGAAAGTATAAACTCTCAAAGTTGGGAAGATGGGTATCCCAAAGGGCGAAGGTAGGTTTGACTTGTTTTTAGAGTGAATATGTTCCTACGTAAAATCAGTTTCTCCTGATTTTGAAAACTTGTGTCACAATTCAACAGATGTCATTCGGTGACCAAATGGAAGAAAAAGGCCATTCTCGTTGGGGGTTGCAGCGCTGATAAAGATGACGACGACGTGAGACACGTGAGTATCTAAGATTTCTCGATTTCATGAACACTCTCCTGTTCATGCTTTTGATCAGAATGTTCAGGTGGACATGTATAGCGATGTGTGGTCGTTTGACTTGGAAACCTATCAATGGAAGAAAATGCCATTCGATCTCGCCGTACCAGTTTTCTTCCATGACGCTGCAATCACAAAGGTACAGTGCTAGATATCTTGTAATATTTTGACCTTAAGCCAAAGATTCTGTTCAGGAAGGGTGTCTGTTGGTTTGGGGCGGGGTGCGTGACATCTACAGCTCTCATCGCACAAATATCGGCCAGTATTGCTACCTAGAACCTCCCTCTTTGAAAACATTGGCTGCCCTTTCGCTGCGACCATACATATACTACAAGGTGAGCTACGAAGTATTGGATGCTCTTCATAATCTCTATGATTTGCTGTACAATTATACCTACGTTTTTCAACTTTGTTCCATTTTTTTTTGCTAACTTTACAATGTTAATTTAAGACTGTCGAGGAGGCTAATAGGCTACGATTTTCGTGTGTTATGGAAGTGGTGCGATGCATTTGCAATAGCCAG